TTACAGCTGTCTACCCCCTTCTGCTGTGAAGATTTAGGCAGTTGGAAATTAAAGAGTGAGCCAGAAAATGACACAAACCAACTGTCATGAAAATTTATTTTTTGCCAGTTGACTACCTACCCCAATGAGCCTGATGTTTTGTTTCAAAAAGTGAAGTGGAAGTGAAGAAACCATTAATATTTGCACAAAGATTTGAAAGGAAAATTCTGCTTGAAGAAAAATAACTGGGCAAGAAAAGTCAAAGAAAGTTTGAAATAGAGTAGAGAGCCTGGAGTAAAAAAAGAGACCCACTCCACTCTCTGCTATTTGTTAAGAGGCTGATGCAGTAATGGCTCTGTCCAGGGAAAGATTTGCTTAGTGTGATGGTTTGAGTGTATTCCTCAAAGGTGCCTTGCTATGAGGTTGGTCCAAGTGTGGCGATGCTGAAGCAGCAGGCCTAGTACAAGGTCTCTAGGTCATGTGGTACTGCCTTTGCAAAGGGCTGATGTAGCTCTCACAGGACTCCCAGTCATTCCCTAGAAAGCATCTATTTGGCTTTCTGTCTTGCTCTGTGATTCTTTCTGTAGGTGGCTGTTTTCCCTTCCCACTTCTTTGTTATGTTTTTGGCTGTAAAGTGGCCAAAGGAGCCCTCAGAAGAAGCTGAGTTGATGGAGCTGCCCAATCTTTCAGTCTCTAAAGACTTTCAGTCTCTAAAACTGGGAGACAACTCTCTTTTCTTTATAAACTACATATCTTCAAGTATTTTATTATAGCAACAGAAAATGGACTAAGGGTCATTTTATTCTTAAATCTACAGTTTTGTCAGGCTATATTACTTTGCTCGCTTAAGAAAGTAACCCAGGCTCATAGTAGCAGCTCCTGTAGCTCAAGAAACCTGTAAAGGAGACTTCATTAGTCCTTCTTCTCAGTTGGTAGCTGACTTTCTATAGAGATTCCTTAACAAGGATTTGAAGTGTGAGGCTTCTCCACTGATAGATTCAGTGGAGGAAATGTTTTCAGAGTACAGAACTTTCCCTTACTTCCCTTGTATTAGTACAGAGGGTGATGACTGAATGTCTAGCCACACACGTCACACTGAGATGGTCCCTTCTAGCCAGATGTGGGGACTTAGATCTGTAATCCCAGCACTGTTGGAGACCAAGGTGTGAGGATTGCAAGACTGAGGCTAGTCTGGGTAATTTAGTGTCTTGCCTCAAAATTAAAAAATCTAAAAGGGTTGTAGATATAGCTCAAAGTGAAGACTTTGGGTTGAATCCCCAAAACTGCAAACAAACAAGCAAACAAACAAACAAACAAGATAAGACAGAGAATGAGAATGAGCATCCAAGAGTGCTCAACCTTTGACAAATGCTGTTGCTCCCTACCCAGACTCCAGGATCCTCTCTTTACCTCATATGGATGAAAGAAATCCTTTTGATTCTTAGCATAGTTGACACTGATAAGCCAACTTAACCAAATAACTCTGGGCATGTAAAGAAAAGACAAATTCAGCCTAGCCAGTAGGTTTTCTGGATGCAGCTTTCCTGCCATGACCTAAGACACAACTGATTTGACAACTTTCAGGGATCTGCTTTCATTTCTCCCATCTCTGTCAAACCTACAGTAGAGGCATAACCACTTTCCTAAGATGTCCAGCTCCACAGGGATGTGGGCAGACACTATGCCAGTCTCCTGGGGTCCTGCCCCTTCAGAGGTAATTGCTAGCATTTTCTATAGCTCTCCTGTGCCCAGGGTATTTCCTGTAGCTTTGTGCTCCCATGAACTTCCTTTGCTCTATAGGCACACTGATTTGACCTTGAGAGAGAAAGATACTTCATATACTTGCTCTTCTACAAAAGTTCCTATCCTGAATATCTAACATTAGCTTTCAAATTTGGTCCTCACTTGCCTTGGTCTTGCTCCTGGCCAATTTCTCATTGCTTTGTTCTTTATATCTGAAAGTCACTAACAGGGTCTTTCTTGGGACAGAGCTTGTTTTCTCTTGCTGGCATTTTAAGCAAGGCTATCTTGGCTTACTGGTGGTAATGGAACATGAGAAGTAGTACCTGATTTGCCTGTAAATTACAAATGTTCCTAATTTCAAAGCCCTTTGCAGTGACCATTCCTGTTCCCCACTTCCCAAGTGAGCTAGCATCTGTTCAGATACCCTCACTGTGTCTGGCAGCTGATGTGTTAAAGTCAGTGATTCTTAAGCAGAGAGAAAGGTAGGGCAGCTTTTTCCTCAGAAGACATTTGGCAGGTGTCATGAGGAGAAGGAATACTATGCTAATCTAGTGAGGAAACCTGAAGGATGTTGCTAAACATTCCACAAGACAAACATGGCAGCCCACAACAACAGAATTATATGGCCCATAGGGCTAATAATGTTGACTTTGAGAAAGCTTGGAGAGAGAGAGAGAGAGAGAGAGAGAGAGAGAGAGAGAGAGAGAGAGAGAGAGAGAGAGA